AAAAATGATTGTTTAATTTTATCTTGTTTTGTTATTGTTTAAATACACCATTGTTTGAATTTTATAGTGCGTTCATTCACAAAAACAACAATTGTTTAACACCGTATTAACCAAGACAATAAGCTGCTGAAACTAAACTTTATATATAGTCGTCTTTTAGTGTCTATTTAGGTTTAGTGCACAATGCATTGTGTAATGAAAAGTAATTAGGTTTTACATTCTTTATATGCATAACTGACAATTTCACAAATCTAACAGAGAAGTTTCTACAAATTCTCAAGGAAGTTAAAGGAAGCGTTTTGAAATTTGGAGACGGATATTGAATTTCATGTAAGTATGATCGGAATATCATGAGTTTCTTAATTTTTGGAGACCACTTTTCTCGATAATCACTAATTACATGCGTGGATCATGCGTTTAATGTCAGATTTCAACAGTCTTGTTTTTACTCATATTTATATTAATAATCTTTGTATGTGAATTTATGTTAAGTCTGGGTTCAAATTACATGATAACAATGTTTCGTTTGTTTATTTCGTTTCAATATTTTAACCATAAATAACTTTTGTGTTTCATGTTCAAGCTTGTATATTTGTATTTTATACACTTTGAATTTCTATATAAATACTCTTTCTATTTTACAGATAGGTGGAAGAAAGATCAAATTTACTTGTTTTTGTTGAAAGACGTAGAATAAATAATTACAATTATATCGGTTATGTTACTAACCGATGATCTCTAGAATATTTATGTTTGTATCATAAAAGTAGCAGGAACGTAAGGACGACATCTAGTGGAAAGGCTTTTTGGAATTTTTAAATATTCTTTCTGAGACTGCTTGAAAATAGCCTGTTAAATGTTGGACGCGGTTTTGTAAAATGTTTTGTGAAATAGTGATAACATTTTATGTATACCCGATTCTTAATAAAAATTGTTTGAATCATTAATTGTTCTGTGTCCGAAACATTTATAGAAGTTGGGATCTACACTATAAAAAGATTGTTACAATAAATTTGTTTGTTTATTGTTAAGCAGAAAGCGATTGGTTATCTGTGCTGTGCCCACCACTGGTATCGAAACTCGGGTCTAGCGTTATATGTCAGCAGACTTACCGCTGTGCCACCGAGGGGCGTTATAATAAATATGGATATGCTATACGAGTAAAATGTCAAAATAACTGCGACCGGCATAGCCAGGTGGATAAGGGGTTCGAATCCCCATCCCACCAAACATGCTCGCTCTTTCAGCCGTGGGGGCGTTATAATGTAACGGTCAATCCCAGTATTCGTTGATAAAAGAGTAGCCCAAAAGTTGGCGGTGGGTGGTGATTGACTAGCTACCTTCCCTCTAGT